TTAATACCATTGTGGATAGGAAATATCCTTTGTATGATTTGAATCCTTTCAAATTTGTGGAGACTTGTGTTACGGTCAAGAGTATGGTTTATATTTAATGTAATTGATATGGCTGGGTTTAAGTCTGTTCTCTTGTTTTTTTAAATTTTTTTAAAAGATATTTATTTGAGAACAAGACAGAGTGAGCAAGCGAGAGAGCACATGAGCTCTCTCATGAGAGGCCGAGGGAGAGGGAGAAGCAGACTCTCCACTGAACAGGGAGCCCGATGTGGGACTCGATCCCAGGACCCTGGGATCATAACCTGAGCCAAAGGCAGATGCTTAACCGAATGAGCCATCTAGGTGCCCCTAAGTCTGTTCTCTTGTTTTTTATTTGTCCCATAGAATGTTTCCTTTTCCTCTTTATCTGCCTTTATTTCGTTTGAGTGTTTTTTTATGACTTAATTTACCCCTTTTGTTGGCTTATTACTTATATCTGTTTTGTTTTTCAGTGGTTGCTTTATATTATATATTTTAATTTATCACAGTCTATCTTCAAGTTATACAACTTCACATATAGTATAATAACATAATAGTATGCTTTCGTTTCTCCATTCTGGCCTTTGTGTTATGTTCATAATATTTTATTTCTATATATGTTACAGATCCAATAATACATTAGTGCTCTTTTTAAAGAGAGTTATAAGAAAACATTTTTTATATTTAAGCACAAATTTACCATTTTTGGTGGTCTCGATGATTTTGTGTAGATCTAGAATTTCATCTGGTGACATTTTCCTTCAATTCTAAAGACTTTAAAATTTCTTCTAGTATAGGTCTGCTAGTGATGAATTCTTTTTATCTTTTGTGTACTTGTCTTTATTGTACTCTTTTTGAAAGACGTCTTTTGACTTGCGTTGTTTCTAACTAGAAATTTGCTGTCATTTTTATCTTAATATCTGTATATACAATATATAATTTTTCTGTTTTTAAGATTTTTCTATCATGGATTCTCTGTCATGCACGTTCTACCATGGATTTTTATCCATTGATTAGGATGTTCATTTTCTTTCCACTTTTTGTGTTTTGGCTGTGTGGAGTTTCTTAAATCTGTGGACTTACTATTTTTACCAAATTTGGAAACAGTTCAGCCATTAATTTTTAAAATATTTTTTCTGATTCCTTTTTCCTCTTTGAGGACTCAAATTACATTAAATTAGTCCACTTGAAGTTGTGTCCCAGTTTACTGATGCTTTGTTCATATATTTTCAGTATTTTTTCTTTCTGTGTGTTTCACCTTGTATAGATTATATTGCTTTATCTTCAAAATCACTAGTTGTATCTTCTTTGATGTCTCATCTGATAAATCTGTTCAGTATATTTTTTATCTCTGTAAGTTTCATTCAACTTTTCTTTATATATTCCATGCATTTATTTCAACATGCTCAGTCTTTCCTCTATCTTCTTGAATATAGGCACGATAACTTTTTTAATATCTATGTCTACAAATACTATCATTTGTGTCATTTCTTGATCTGTTTCTAATAATTGATTTTCCTTCTCATTATGGGTTGTACTTTCTTCTTTGTATTCCTGATAATTTTGTTTGGATTCTGTAAATTCTGAATTTCATCTTTGTGGTGTCTGGAGATCTTTGTATCCCTGTAAATCATCCCAAGCTTTGTTCTAGATACAGTTTAGTTATTTGGAAATACTATGCTCTTATTGAGGCTTGCTTTAAATTTTGTTAGGCAGGACTAGATATACCTTTAGTTTATGGTTAATTTTGCCCCCTGCTAAGGCAATATACCCTTCTGAATACTCTGTGATTCCTTTTGAATTATGAGGTTTTCCACTCTGGTTGATGGGAACACAAAATTTTCCCATCTGTATGTGAGTTCCTGGACTTGTACCATCTTATCCTGTTAGATATTTTATTCTCCTCCCTACCTCCAGCCTTGGGCATTATTTCTTCATATGCATGTGCTGATCAGTACTTAGCTGAAGATTTGAGAACTCGCCGTAGATCTCTAGAGTGCTCTCTCTTTGAAGCACTCTCCTAATGATAATCTGCCCTGTGAACTCTATCCTCTGTATTCTTTCTGAACCCCCAGCTCTGTTTTCTCAACAAAGGGAATCTGTGAGCTCTAACTGGGTTGTCCCTTTATATTCTCTGGCTTGTATACTTTCTGGAAGCAGTAAGCTAGGAGCAATCATGGGGTTCACCTCATTTGCTTTCTTTCTCAAAAATCATTATCCTGGGGGTGCCTGGGTGGCTCAGTCATTAAGTGTCTGCCTTCAGCTCAGGTCATGATCCCAGGGTCCTGGGATCAAGCCCCGAATCAGGCTCTCTGCTCCATGGGGAGCCTGCATCTCCCTCCCCCACTTCCCCTGCTTGTGTTCCCTCTCTCGCTGTCTCTCTCTCTGTCAAAAAATAAATAAAATCTTAAAAAAAAAAATCATTATCCTGTTCTACCTGATGGTCCATGTATGAAAACTTTTATCTCATATATTTTGTCCAGTTTTTTAATTGTGGCAGTCAGGAGGATAGTTCCTCTTGCTTTGTACTGGCCAGTTGGAAGTTTTGAAACTTATTCACCTAGCAATCAAACTGATATTTTTCAAGGCAAAAAGCAAGTCAATTTTACTTTTGTATTTAGAACCTTTCAGTACTTCTTATTGTTCTTTTAAAAAAATAAAGCTCTATTCATACGACCGAGTAATTCAACTACTGGGTATCCAAAGAAAATTAAAACACTAATTCAGAAAGATGTATGCACCCCTTTGTTTATTACAGCATTATTTACAAGGGCTAAATTATGGAACCAACTCAGTGTCCATCCATAGTGGATAAAAAAGGTGTGCGTGTGTGTGTATATATGTATATATACACATTATGGAATATTACTCAGCCATAAAAAAGAATGAAATCTTGCCATTTGCAACAACATGAATGGATCTAGATAGTATAATGCTGAATGAAACAAGTTAGAGAAAGACAAATACCATATGATTTCACTCTTGTGGAATTTAAAAACAAATGAACAAAGAAGAAAGAGACAAATGACCAGATACTTAAATTTAGAGAACAAACTGGTGGTTACCAGAGGGTGGGTGGGTGGGGTGAGTGAAATAGGTGAAGGGGATTAAGAGTACACTTATCATGATGAGCACTGAATAATGTATAGAATTATTGAGTCATTACATTGTATACCTGAAATTAATATAACACTGTATATTAATTATGCTTGAATTAAAAATATTAAGTTCTGTATAATCTGGGCCCTTTTAAGACTTAGGTCATAGGTTTTCATGGGTTTTCCTTCACTAATTCTATTCAATCTTTTTCTTTTCTTTTTTTAAGATTTTATTTGAGAGAGAGAGTAAAAGAGAGCACAAGCTGGGGGGTTGGGCAGAGGGAGAAGCAGACTCCCCACTGAGGAGGGAGCCCAACTCGGGGCTCCATCCCGGGATTCTGGGATCATGACCTGAGCCAGAGGCAGATGCTTAACTGACTGAGCCACCCAGGCACCCCTGTTCTTTTCTTTTTGTTCCTTAAATGTGTGGCAAATTTTGCATTTGTGCTTATTATTCTATTCCTTTGGAATATGCTTACTCCTTTCTTCACATGTTTAACCATTCTGTGTCTTTCACTTATCACTTCCTTACTAAGGATTTTTCTGACCAGACTATCTGATACAGGACTTCTAACACAAGTTATTCCATCACATGATCTTGTAGCATCTATAAAGGCACTGTAATTATCTTTGTTTATTTCTGTATTTCTTTTATCCTTTGTACTTATTAATGATTAATTATTTATTATTTTCCTTAACTAGAATGTAAGCTGTATTGTCTCCCTGCCACATAATAGGCATACATTAAATATCTGTTTAATATACATAGATAAGTCTTTCTTTACATTTATTTTTTAGAGTAAAAAAAATTTCTCTGGTGTTAATGTATTATATTATTGCATACTATAGGTTATGCCTTTTGGCATAATATTTCGCATTATGTTGCCCAAAACACCAATGAGACCTGTGTTGATTAATAGTGTAGGATCGTGATCTGTCAACATTCATGGGTAAAACATCTCTCTCTCCTTAATAGCAAATTGAATTCTTTTATTTCTCTGTCCACAACACATGGCATAGTGTCTGGAACACAACAGGTGTACCTGCTTCTTAGGTATTTAATAAATAATTTAAAAAATAAAATTGGAAAATCTTTCAGAATTCTAGTGGCCTATATTTCTTTTCTATATTTCTTTGGTACCTCCAGGCTCTGTAACAACCCAACCCCCAAGTAAATTTGTTGATAGTGAGTGACAACAAAATTTGAAATATCTTGATTTCTAATTATGTCCTATGATAGCTTTCATTTGATACAAGTTGGACATAAAGTAGAATTATGATTTCTGCATTAGAAAGGAACTTAAATTTATCTAGTCTAACCTTTTCATCTAATTTATCTTATATCATGGCTTTAGTATATATGCATTTGTATCACATTTTTCTGCCTTGGGAACTTCAGAGTTGTTAGGTTGAGAAAAATCTGTTATGATATTCTTATGACTATTTGATTTTATGTTTTAACAGGATAATTTTCCTCTGCGCAGTCTTTAAATATCTTTCTCTGGTTAAATGAAGCAGCAGCTATACAGTAATTGTCTAGGTTATTCACTAGATCTTATTATAGAAGACAAGACAGACTATAGGTTTTTGTTTTCTTAATATAACAGTAAATTGAACCCATGCTAATTTTTCATTTTGAAATACTGAACTAAGTGTAGATTATTTTTATACTCACTAAGGTACTAGAAGAGTACATTAGATAAATTTCGACCCAAAGCAATATTCGACTCAAAATTCTACCCAAAGCAATTTAAATTAAAAAAATTAAAACCTAGTCTAGGTAAATATTAGTAGTTATTCAGTATGTTCTCTAAGAATTTAATTGTTTTGAAATGAAAATGCTGTATGTTTTTCTTGCTAAATATGTTTTTATTTATCTTCAAGTCCAGGCAATAGGAATTTCCTTACTGGAAGACCTGTTGTGGATATGGGTGAAGAATGTGGAAGCATGGATGAGCAAAGACTGTCAGACTTCATTACTGAAAAACAGTCAGTACAACATATTTGGGGAGAAAATAGGAGAGAGCTTTCAAATTTTTTTGAAAGTGTGAACCAGCCAAAAGCCAGCCTTATATCAGAGAATTGTAACTCTTTTATTAGTGAAAATGTCATCAATTTATTAAGCATAGATCAACAGAGGATAAAGAAAACCTTTGACAAGTGTGGTTATGACAGTATGGGAGATATTTGCACAATCACAAGTTCTGATAAAAATGATTCAACTGATAGATGCGTTAGAAGAATTTTTACAGATCCAGTGTTGACTCTTAGTAATTCTACTTTTAATAAAACAAGTTATCCAGAAAAGTGTCAGCCAGACAAGAGGTATCAAAAAGAATACCACAATAATGATAGAAATACTTTTAGTACATCTTTTGAAAAGGATTGTTATGCAGCCAGCTTTGAAAAAAAAGGTGAGTGTTATACATGGAAAACATAATCTTTTGGGATTTTTTGTTTTCAATTTGTGTGTGTGTGTGTGTGTGTGTGTGTGTGTGTGTGTGTGTGTAAGAACAGGAAATTAGAAACAATGACATTCTATTATATGACTTTTTGGATCAGTAATTTTATTCTATGTGGTTTGTAAGCTTCAAATTAAAAAACAGATAGTGTCTGTTAAGGTTTTGAGTTCAGTGCATACTTTTATTTTTAAAGGAAAATTTAAAAGTGATTACCAAGAGAAGACACCACAGCATGGAAGCCAGAAATATCCAGTGAATCATATGTAAGTTTTTAGGTAAATCTGGGGAATACAAATCAGGATCTATTAGTATAATGCATGTTGAATGTTGGAATTGATGAAAAGTGAGTAGGCATATTGCTGTCTGGGGGTGGGTAGACCAGCCTCAAGGAAGGCTTCTCAGCTGTCAGAATCTTGGTAATAATCACCTCATTTGAGAGTATGGTGCCTTATATTTGGTATTGCAAAAATAACTGGAATCTTAGTATTAATTAGGTTTGAGAAAACTTGACTTCTGTGTTCAAGAAACTTACAGACTCACCAGAATGCAGTTTATTAATTTACAGTAAGAAATAGAAGAGTCACATGTATAGGAATGCTTACTTGCATGGTAAGCATATTTTCTAACTTTTGGCTCAGCTCTCCATGGGTAGGTTGTTTGGTTATTATAGAGTCAGAGCAAGAGAGTGATAGAATTCAGCTGTAATGGCATAAGCATATTAACATTTTATGGGACTGGTATTATAGGGAATTAAACAAAATTTCTGGTTTCAGAATAGCCCAAACTTTCTTGGTGGTAATTGTGATTTAGTCAGATCTTGGTAACTGAAAATCATGAACTAGAATATATTTTTATTTTGAAAGTACTTTCTTATGGAAATATTTAAAATATCTATAAAAAGAGTATATAGATGCTATTTTTATGGGATTGGCACAACAAATTAATTAAAATAGATTCACAGCTTATTAATAAAATCAATAAATTAGCTGCTTTATTGTCAAATTCCCAAATATTCAGAAACTTGTGAATGAAAAACAACATGGTAGGCCTTGAATTTTAAAATTTACCTTATGAAAGGGATTTATAACATGGTTCCCAAGCCTGGCTGCAGGTTCACATCACTTGAGGGTGGTGACTTTTTAAAATTAAAAATACCAAGTTTGATCCACACATAATAAATAAGCTCTTTAGGGTGGAGCTTATGAATCTTTGTTTTTCAAAAAACTTCCCTTATAATTCTCATCTGAAGCCAACTTCGGAAACTGTAATTTAGAATAATAATTTTCGGCAGGAAATAAAGCACACTTTAAAAGCATCTTATTTATGATCCTTAGGGGTAATATCTCTTTGGAAGAATTGCATTCTAAGCAATCGTGGGACTTAGGATTTGGTGAGGTAAAGTACATCTTCCATTATCTTTCCAATTAAGTCAGTTGTTATTATGTCATATATTAGTATTGGCAGTTTACTTTGATTTAAAGTTAGCTTTTATTAAAAATATTTCTTCTGAGATTAATACTTTTTCTTTGTTATATTTTTTTTATTCTGGGGAAATTATAGCTTGGGTTTAGAAATAAAATTAACACCTTTCAGAACCTGTAATATGCTTTAAGACAAACCAATCTACATATTTTAAAAATTCTTTTTATAAGTCCTATAAAATTTCTTCCAAGATGAAAACATTTAGGTTTCAATGTGCTATGGTCAACATAGTTATATGTTTAAGAATAATGAAAGAGCTATAAACATTGGTTATGTAAGTTGTAACTGCTGCTCATAATAAGGGTATGTGATTGTTACAACAGTGCAGGCTTTTTGCTAGGAGCTTTATGTACTTCATTTCTAATCTGTGAGAGCCTGATTCTGTAAGGTCTGCAGTGCAAAAGAGACTCAAGTTCAGAGAGATTAAATAACTTGTTCAAAGTAACACACTCAAACCAGGATTCAGACTCTTACTATTTTTAAAAATTTTATTATTTTTAAATTTATTTTAGAAAGAGCAGGGGGAAGGGTAGAGGTAGAGAGACAAGCAGACTCCCCACTGAGCAGGAAGCCTGATGTGGGGCTTGATCCTAAGACCCTGAGCCGAAATCAACAGGCTGACGCTCAACCGAGCCTTTCAGACTCTTATTTGACACTATATTTTCTACTGCACTAACTGTTTTCTCTTTTTATCTTCAATAAATATGCATCGAATGCATATTATGAATTCATTTAATAGAATTTTTTGAGTGTCTTTTATATGCTAGACACTGTGCCTACAGTGGTGAAATAAGTTTTTGTTTTTCTGATGCTTATTCTATTATGCACAATATGATGAAAGATACAGTGATGAAAGGACAGGGAACCTATCTTTAGGAAGCTATAGTCTAGTAGCTAGACTGAAACAAACAAAAAACCTAGTGCATTTAGATACAATTGCTCCAGTTGGGGTTTTTACAAAAGACAGTTGGAACTCAGTAAAAGACACTTCTGAGTTTTCTTTTAGGAGTTTTATGGTTTCAGTTCTTAGATTTGGGTCTCTAATCCATTTTGAGTTCATTTTTATATATGGTGTAGGAATAATGGTCTGTTTTTATTCTTTGGCATGTAGGTGTCTGGTTTTCCAAATATCATTTATTGGAAAGACTCTTCCACATTCTATATTCTTACCTCCTTTATTGTAGATTAATTGACCATATAGACGTGGGTTTATTTCTGGTCTCTCTATCCTGTTCCATTGATCTATGTGTCTGTTTTGTGCCAGTACCATACTGTTTTGATTACTGTAGCTTTGTAGTGTATCTTGAAGTCTGGGATTGCGATACCTTCAGTTTTGTTCTTCTCAGCCTTAGCAAAATATGTATGGCTATGTTTCCTCAGGCAAGGGAAACAAAAGTGAAAATGAACTAAGATACACCCAAATAAAAGGCTTTTGCACAGCAAAGGAAACCACCAACAAAATAAAAAGGCAACCTACTTAGTGGGAGAAAATATTTACAAATTACATATGTCCAATAAGGAGTTACTGTCCAAAATATACAAAGAACTGATACAACTCAACACCAAGCAAGCAAACAATCTGATTAAAAAATGAGCAGAGGACCTGAATGGACATTTTTCCAAAGAAGACAAACAGATGGCCAAAAAACACATGAAAAAATGCTCAACATCACTAATCATCAGGGAAATGCAAATCAGAACCACAATGAGCCAGTCAGAATGGCCAGTATCCAAAACACAAGAAGTTACAAGTGTTGGCAAGGATGTGGAGAATTAATTTTAATTTTTATATTGAAAATGCACTCCTTAAAAATATTTTTTTCATGAGCGATATGTGCAAAACTTTTGGTTTCCTGCCCTGAAGCCTCAACTGCAGAAATTTAAAAGTTGCCTATGAGAGTTCCAGCCTTTCAGTTTTAGCTGTTGAAAGATTAACTTGAATTACAAACTCATATTCTTTGATTTACACAATCCTTGGGTCCTTCTGGTACCTAAGATAGACTTTTTACTGCTTTGTAGAGAATGCAGTTTCATAAAATACATATCGAATTCATCCAGGTAGCCAGTCATTTAGCTGTTTGGTTTACTTACACGTTCTATCACGTGCTGTGAGCAAAATAGCCGAATTTGAAAAGGCTGCTGTTTATAATTTAAGACAGGGACCTCTGAATGACTCCTTTTTGGTATGCTTCTGAAAAGGTCAGGCACCAACATGTTGGTAGGAATATAAATTGGTGCAACCACTATGGAAATCAGTATTGAAGTTCCTTAAAAAAGTAAAAATAGAAATACTGTACAATCCACTAATTCCATTACTGGGTATTTATCCAAAGAAAACAGAAATATGGGGTGCCTAGGTGGCTCAGTCAGTTAAGTGGCTGCCTTTGGCTCAGGTTATGATCCCAGAGTCCTGGGATCGAGCCCCACATCTCATTCCCTGCTCAGTGGGGAGCCTGCTTCTCCCTCTGTCTATGCCCCCTGCTTGTGCTCACTCTTCGCTCATTCTCTCTATCAAATAAAATCGAAAAACAAAAAGTTTTAAAAACAGAAATGCTAATTTGAAAAGATGTATGCATCCCAGTGTTTATTGCAACATTATATACAGTGGCCAAGATACAGAAGCAACCCAAGTGTCCATCAATAGATGAATGAATAAGAAATTGTGGTATGTATATATGTATGTGTGTGTGTGAGTACACACATGTACACACACACAGTAGAATGTTAGCCATAAAAAAGAATGTGATCTTGCCATTTGTGACAACATGGATGGACCTAGAGAGTATTATGCTAAGTGAAATAAATCAGAGAAAGACAAATACCATATGATTTCACTTATATGTGGAATGTAAAAAATAAAATGAATGAACAAACAAAAAAAACAAGAGTTTTAAATACAGAGAACAAACTGGTGGTTGCCAGAGGGGAGGTTGGTGGGGTTAGGCAAAATAGGTGAAGAGGATTATAAAATAAATAAGATATAAAATAAGTCATGGAAATGGAAAGTACAGCATAGGAAATAGTGTCAGTAATATTGTAATAATGTATGATGACAGATGGTAACTATAGTTATAGTGAGCATTGAGTAATGTATAGAATTGTCAAATGAGTATGCTGTACACCCAAAGCTAATATAATCCTTTATGTCAGTTATACTTCAATAATAAATAATAAAAAAGGCAGTTCTAAGTTTCATGGGCAGTCAGAGGAAGATGTGATAGAGGAGAAAACTTTTGATCTGGGTGTCAGTAAGTTTACCAAATGGACAAACTTCCTTCATCCTATGAAGATGGAGCAATATAGATAGAAACTAAGAGGTGAAGGAATAAAGCTTGTTTTAGATAAGTAATTTGTTTCATTCTACTTATTGTTATTGCTACTACTGTAGTATAAATTATAAGGGGTGGAGGGATGGCAAGAAATAATTCTGGACGTTATAAAGGACCAGGTCATAAAAGACCTTGTATGACATATAACAGGTTAATTTCCTATCATCAAACAGAGAGCCACAAAAAAAATTTTAGCAGAGGAATATGATAACATCCGGGTATTAAAAAGTTGAGGAGTGGCAGTGAGGATGGAAACAGGGAAGAGCTATCACAGAGATTTAGAAGATCTAGATTTGAGAGAACCTTGATGATTAGTTAAGTGAGAAGGAAAAAATTAAAGACCTGTATTTATGATTTGGGTAAATGGGTAGTTGATGGGATGATGCCATTCACCAAGATTGAAAACATGAGAGATGGTTGCAGAAAAGGTTAACTCTCCACCAAATTTTATGTACCCTCTTTTATAGAATAGAGCTGTTAATATGAAAGGGCTACCCTGCCAAGGAACACTTTCCCTAATCTTCCATTCATCTAAATTTGGCCATGTGGCTCAATAATAGAATGTTATCAGAAGTGATGTGCATTATTTTCATGCACTACAAAAAGTGGAGATTCCTTCTCTGTGTTATCCTTCTTGTGAGGGCTAGGTGGTAGTGAAGCCCTAAGGATTATGTTTGCAGCCACAAGATGGGAGGGACTGAGTCTCTAAATCACTAGATGGAAGAAAATTACCTACTGACTAGGAAAACTTATTTTAGATTATTACATGAGGAAGAAATAATTGCGTTTAAGCATTATATATTTTGGGATTTATTTTTATACCTAGCATTACTCTAATTCAGAGGGAGAGATTTCCAAGAGAATATCAGTTAAGTTTTGACCTGTTGAGGTTGATTGAAGTTTTCTGAAAAATCTGTGATATACATGAAGATGTGTCATAGCCATTTATATATACAGAGCTTGCACTCAGAAGAGGCTTTTTGTATTCAGTGAATAGGTGGTAATTGAATACATTTATGTATACATATGTGATTTCTAAGAGAAAATTTTAGAACAAGAGCAAAGAGTCCTGAGAAGCCACAACATTTAAAGTTGGAGGACACGTAGTAGAAGAGAAGCCAGAAGAAGAGACAAAATGAATTGTTAGACAGGTTTGAGGAATTCTACTAAAAGAATGGTAGAAAATAAAAATAGATTTTCAAGGAGGAGGAATATGGTCAATAATATCAGATGCTGTCCTGTGACTCCTGGAACTTCTATTTTCCCAAAAAGAATAATATAGATATACTCTCTTGAAGGAATTGTCAGCGGTTTAGAATACTTAAAAAACAAACTCTGTTTGACTACATTTATGGCAGCTTGAATGTGGCTAGAGCAAGTCAGGAAAGAAAATAAGCCCATTGGTGGAGCCTGAAGGGAATCTGGTGCTATGAGGAGTTCTTTGGGTAGATCAGCATGGAGTTTTAATTTGTGATGTATGGGCAGGGCTAAAGGTATAGTGAAAACCCTGGTTAAAATCTTAAATTCTGCAAGAGCAACCAAGGCAGGAGTCAAAAGAGGAAAGGAAGAAGAGGTAGAAGCCGA